GTACTTGAGGACGAAGCTCATCTGCGGGTTGGCGAGCACCTGGATCTGGCTGTCCTTAGGAAGCTCCAAGAGCGTCAGGCACATGCAGATGTTCACCTCCTCCAGGAAGGGCACCACCGGCATCTTGAACTAGGCGCAAAAATGTGCCAGGTGCTGGACCTCCTCCGGGCTCGGGCTCCTCTCCTCCGCTGAGTTGCAGATCCTGTCGAAGAGCTCTTCCAGGGAGCACTGGAACAGAGCGAATTTTCCCCGTCGCAAGAGGTTGTTGAGGTCGCCCTGCTGGCAAGCAGGCTTCTCCGGCTTCGGCTTGCCCTCATCGGTCCAGCTGCCGAAAGGCATTTTGGCTGGGTGCATCTGGAGGGGCACTTGGGCTGGGTGCATATGGTGGGGCGCCTGAGTTGGTTGCTCCTGAGTGGGCTTCGTCCGTTTCTTCTGCTCCTCCGTTCGCTTCTGCTGTTTAACGTCCTTCATCTTCTCCTGGAGTTCTTCTTTGCAAACGCTATCCTCTGCCTCCAGAGGAGCTGGATGCGCGGCGTCGGCTGCATCTTCTTCTTGAGGCTAACACTGAGATGTTTGTATGAATATGGGTTCCTGGTGTTTGGCAGCAAGTGCTTGCATCTTTTCCTTGACGGTGAGCTCGTGTTTATCTGTTTATCTTCTGCATATCTGCCTTGTCTCTGCAGGGATTGGAGGCGCTTGGACGGGTTTCTTGAAGGCGACTTGTTCGCTGGCCTCCGCCTCCATCTTCTTGAGCTTTGCCTCGCGCCAGTCCCCTCAGGCTCGCTTCTACGGGCCCCGCCGCTCGAGAACCTCCTGGCCCTCGCATGGCATTCGCTGCGCCTAATGGTCGACCTTGAGCTACACGGGTTTCTCGCGGACATGCACGATGCCTGCCGCGTTGGATAGCACGCCTAGCGTTTCGGGGCACACGCCCACGAGGCGCTTCGTCTGCTACTTCTCGCCGAAGGCCATCATGTTCACGGCTCCCAGCAGGAAGCTTCGGAACTTCTTCAGGCACTTGGCGTAGTTGACCACGAAGCCCTTCTGCCGGCCCACGAGCATAGTGTGCTGGCTCTCCTTCTGCAAAACCGTGGGCGTCGGTCCCAGGTAAGCGGCCGCCTCTTTAGGAGACAGCAGCGGCAGCCGGGACTTCCTATGCGCAGTGGAGCTGAGGAGAGACCACCTCTGGAATCACGCCCCGGGAGCCCTGGTCTGGTGCTGCTGACCCTCTCCCGACGAAGGACGGCTCGGCTCCCCTCGCTTCGCTGCTGCAGAAGGTGTGACTGGGTGTATATGTGTGTGTGTAGTTCAGTTGAGGTGCGTACGTCTGTGTATGTGTGTGTGTGTGTAACTGGGTGTACGCGTAATCGTATGTATTGCATGCTGTGTGTGTGTGTGTGTGTGTGTGTGTGTGTATATATATATAATATATATAATATATATATATATATATATATATATATATATATATATATATATAATATATATATATATATATATATATATATATATATATATATATATATATATATATATATATATATATATATATATATGCTGCTTGTGTCTGCGTGTGACATATATATACAATATATATATACTATATATATATATATATATACTATATATATATATATATATATATATATATATATATATATATATATATATATATATATATATATATATATATACTATGTGCATATATATACAAATATATGTAGAGAGAGAGAGACGAAAACAATAGAAAGATAAATAGATAGAGAGAGAGAGAAATACATACACACACACGTACACTCATTGTTATTATTATTATTATTGTTATTATTGTTACTGTCATTATCATCATTATCATTGTTATTATCATTATTGCCATTATTATTATTGCTTTCATTAGTGTGGTTGTTGTATTACTAATGTCATTAGTGTTATGATTATTATTGTAATTTCCACTATCTTTATCAAATTATGATTTTTATTACTTTATCATCAGTATTGTTATCATCATTGTTATCATTATTGTGATGAGTGTTAAGTATTGTTTTTATTATCATCATTTCTCATTACTACATTACTTATTACCATCATATGATTTATTATTATTATTATTATTATTATTATTATTATTATTTTTATTATTTTCATCATTATCATTATCCATATCATTATTATTACTATTATCACTATATTTATTATCACATTATTTATTTATTATATTTATTATTGTTCTTGTTATTGCTATTACTGTTATCATTATCATTGTTATTATCCTTCAAAAGTAATAATAGTTTGTTAGTCATTCTGTTTATTTTTTTATTGTTAATTTTTATTTTCATCTTTTTTCATAATCGTAGGTTTGTTATCATTATCATTATTGTTATTTTACTATTTTTATAATGTATTACTAATTATCATTATATTTAATTATTATTTTTTTACTACTTTATATCATTCCATTTCTAATCATTATATTAATAAATTTCAAAACTTTTCTTTCCTTCTAAGAAAGAGGTAGGGAAAAGGGGACACTCGGAGACTCATACTCATAACCGTATTCTGACTCATGGGACTCATCTAACGATTCATCCGAGTCCTCCATCGAGAGAGCAAAGTGAGTCCTCGCCGCGTAATTACTTTCTCCCTCTTCCCGCGAGTCTTCTAGAGACACTGATGAGTAGCGCGTTCTTGGCGAAGCGTCTCTGGACTCTGGTTCCGAATGACGGGGTTTCGAAGCTTCGAATCTCATGGTTTGGAAGGGGAAGTGGGGGCGTTTCTGGGAGTTTGTGGGAGGATGGAAGGATCGTGGGGTGTGGTAAGTGTAGGATGTCTTCCTAGGAGGGATGTAGATTCGTTTATGTGACTCGCCCAACTTGTGGGAATTACCAGGATGTGGGTGTTTCATTATCGGAGTCGAAACCTCAAGTGAATCATCGAAGCCTCGGTTGGGATAGCTCGATTTTGCGAAGAAATGAGACATTGCCTGAGATTCGTCGGCGATAGAGCTACGTCCTGTCTTTTCGGGAGATGAGTCGAAATCCTCATAATATCTCGGGCCTGAATAATATGATGCCTCCATCGACGCGACAGAAGCGTCGGTGCCTTCCCGAGAAGAAATCTGACCTGTGGCAGAAAAACGTGATAATTCCGTAGATTCATCAGCGCTTTCAGTCCCGAATCGGGAATAGGTTGGCTTCATGGATGACATATTTGCCGTTTCCCTTGATTCGCTGGAGTCGTCAGCACCGACTCGCGAATACTTTGTCCCGACAGAAGGAAAGGGACCTAAGGAGTGCACAAAGGGCGTTTTTGGTGCCGTGTAGGAGTAGCCTTTCCTGGACTCAGTCGATCCCTGTGCGTGTTGAGGAGTAGCGACGGAGAAGCCAGAGTCGCGCTGAGAATATCCAGAGGAACGAGGCGTTTCGGACACCTCCGACTCGTCCGATTGATCTCGCGTGGTTACGACTTCGGCGTAATGAGCCACGCCTTCATACTTGACCTCGGCCACGAAACCGGAGTCGCCATCCACAAAATAGGTCACTGTCTGTAGGCGACCGTCGGGAAGAAGCACAAAGTACGACCCTTCTGTGTTGTCTCCGTCGCGGGAATCGTGGTGACCGAAGTCGTTGCCGCTGTAGTCTTTCGAATGCCAAACGAAGTCGTACCTGGCCGGTTCGCTTTCCTCGCCGGACGCCTTTGGAAGTGAAGAAAATGACTTAGGACTTCAAATAATTGGGGAAAAAAAATACTTGAGTACCATGATATGGATGATTAACACTAATGTAGCGAACAAGAATATTCAGGATAATGACAATTAGTAAAACAATGATAACAGAAAAAAATAGTAACAGTAATAATGGTTGAAAGCAATATTATTTTTCTACAGACATATTATCATCATCAATATTACAAATACGATAATTTCTTATTGTCATTACTATCAATATCTTTATCAATACCCTCATTAGAATGATAAGAATAATATCACTGGTGACATAGATAATGAATATAAAATTATAATACACCAGAAAAAATATTAATAATAACAACTAATTGTGATGATAATAATAACGAAAAGAACAGCAGCAACAGTAATGATGATAATGATAATAATAATGATAGGGATATATTTCATAACAATTATGAAACAATGGTTAGGATAATGATAATAATGATAAAGATTAGATATTTGTGAGTCTACATGGACCGTTGTTAAAACCATACCTCTAATGAGACATTAATTAAATGAAAATAGACAAGACAATACCAAAAACAAAGCAAATTCGTGATTTGATGTGAAAGATGATGTTTATTCATTTTTCATCATCATTATCAATATTTTTTTTTTATGTCAGTTATCAGTTACAGAGACAGTGAGGGAAAATAAAGGCGTTGGTGTGATCTCATAAAATATATTATTATTGTCATCATTATTATTACTACCATTATCATCATTATTACAATTACTATTATCATTATTACTATTATTATCGCTACTGGTTATAGTTGATAAAATCTGATGTTTGCTTATTCGTTTTTATTATTATTATTATTAATATCGTTATTTTTTGTTATGAAAAGCGAATTGTCAGTTATCAATTACAGATATAATTGGGAAACTATAGATGTATTGATGTTATCTGATAAAAGAAAGACGCTTGATAAAAGTTGATGTTTTTTTGCTCATTTTCATTATTATCATTATCGTTATTTTCTTCCATGATAAAAAATGCCAATTATCAATTACAGAGATTGTGAGGGAACTAGAGATGTTAATGTTATCTGATAAAAGAAAGACGATTGATAATTGATAAAAGCTGACGTTTATTTGTTCATTTTTATCATCATCATTTTTTTCATGAAAACGAATTGTCAGTTTTCAATTACAGAGATTGATAAAAGCTGACGTTTATTTGTTCATTTTTATCATCATCATTTTTTCCATGATTGTGAGGGAACTAGAGATATTAATGTTCTCTGATAAGAGAAAGACGATTGATAAT